CTGGCAACCCTTTTTATTTGATGTATGGTGCTTAAACACCTTTCATTTGAAGATAGAACTTACTAACTTTTTGTAGAATTTCATACTGTAAACCCAACATGATAAAAAAACGAAAAATATTAAAATCCGCTTCCGAGGCGGACTTAAAACCCCACCGCTCCGATTCCACCAGCTACTCGTTACTTCCCCGGGCTGCTCGCAGCCCGGGGCAACCAAGCGAAAGCTTCTATTCTGAAACGAAGACGGACTTAAAACCCCATCGCGTCGTGAATTTATCTATTCTAATATCTGGCCACCACATCGGTTCCCTTTTCGTATAATAAATAAATCTTACATAAATAATGTAATGTAATAATGCAAATACAATAAATACTATTTCTTGACATTTAATTGATTAATTAATGATAGTAACACTGATGGAAATATATGTTCGATTGTTTTTTAATATTATACAGTAATTTACTAATAAATAAGAATAAGAGAATAAAAGACAAAACTTATTTTAAGTATCTATACAAAATTTATTTAAAGTTTTGCTTGCGTTTTTCGACTGAATATTTCTTTTTCTATTAAGTGTCAACTGGCAACCCCTTTTCTTTGATGTATGGTGCTTTGTGTCCTTTAACACCTTTTAATTGAAGATAGAACTTACTGACCTTTTCTACGCAATTTCAAACTGTAAACCCAACATAACAAGAGGCGGACTTGAAACCCCACCGCCCCGATTTCACTAGCTACTCGTTACCTCCCCGGGCTGCTCGCAGCCCGGGGCAACCAAGCGAAAGCTAGTCTATATATATAAAAATGAATCGCAAAATGTGTTGGTAAGCGCATAACTCAACAACGCCTCGACCAATTTGGCCAAATCTTTTTTTAAAATGTTCGTTGAAGTTCAAGGATGGTTTTTACGGCGAGAAAAATTAGAATTATTGCTGGAAAAACCCTAAAAATAGCCCTTTTCTTTTTCCCATACAAATGATTTGTAACTAAAACGTAGTCAATTTGAGCTTTATTGCTATGGTATAAAGTTCATATTAAATTACAAGCACTCACTGTTGTCTAAGCAATGTAGGTGTGTTCCTAACGTCAAAGATCATATCTATCAAAACAATGTGCGTGTGTGCGTTGGAGCACAGAATACATAGTTGGAGGAGTTTAATGTCGCGTTCCGAAACTCGCGTTTCTTTTGTATTAGTTTCGGCACGCGAGATAAAATGCATCAGTTTCCACGTCATTACATGTATTGCCGGAACATTGATGAAAATACGCTCTGTAGTAGCAAAGCTGTTGGGTCCTAGATAGCTCATTGGTTAGAGCAGTCCCTGGATCGCGAATGGGTTCGAGTCCCATTCCGGGGTACAGGTAGATGGATTCTTCCAGCATTTTTCCTTGAGAATGTTTATATATTTTTTTAATTCGAATAGTTTACTTTTATAATGCTGTTGTGTGTAATGTGTTTTTATGATCATAAAAATCTCTTTTTTCTATATTTAATACTATTACTATTAATACATTGCAATAATAATTATGATTCACATGATTAACAATAAAGCGATTACTTACTTTTAAATCCTTATATATGTTTTATTTAATTATTTTTTATTCACAACGCCCTATCACCAGGGTGACGGTTCTGTTCAGGAGATTTTTTTTAAATACGTAGGCAAAAAAACTGCCACATTACAAATCTTTTTGACAGGACGAAGTCTGTCGGGTCAGCTAGTTTATCATAAAAATAGGTTTTATAATCATTTTGTTATCAGGATGGGTGCTTACGGCTCACATTTTTTATTCTTAGTGCGTTTTCTGAGCATCTTAAAATTTGAAAATTGCTGTTTATTAATTCCTATCATCTTAATATCAATCGCTAAACCTTACCCATTTAAGGAGGACTAATTTGTATACCAAAAGTGTAACCGTTACTCTCTAGCTATAGAACATCTTAGCGTTGTTATGTAGCGATTATACAGTTTTATCATAATAAATATTAACTAAAAGGATATTCCGTATTAATTTGAGCTGCTTCAAACAAGTTTCCTTTTACTGAAAAGTAATTGCAAGATTGCGCAGAAACTGTTTTTTTTTTTTTATAAACAGCAATATATTAAAAGTTTTACCTAAATTTTTGCCCAAGCATAAATTTTTGTTTTAACACGCAGATTTCATAAATATTTCCAAAAATACTCAAATTGAAATAAATCTTTCATTGGTATATAATACTTATATAAGTATACGAACTAGTTATGTTATGGTTAATAGTGAATGATGTATATTTTCCAGATTGGGATACTCTACAGGGAATATTAGTTTTTAGTTTAGCCAGCAACTTTGATTAATCAAACGTATTATTATTTGCTCATTTGTTTAGGACAGATACGTGATCTTCAAGAAACTTTATAAAAAATATGTGGTAATCTTATGTTTATATACAATATATGTATATACAAGAAAATCTGTGAAAGTAAAATACAGGAAATAATCTGAATCTGGCTTTAGAATTAATTTCTTTTTGACTATAAGATTTTGAAGGATTTAGTTGGTCATAATAGGCCTTCTTTAGTTTTTGTTCAAATAGGGCCTAACAGTTATATAATGAAAGGTGTATGAAATAAAACAGGGCGAAAAAAGTAGTTCTAGCCGAGTTCCTTGCCGGTTCTTCTCAGTCGTAGATTTGCCATCGGTTCGCAAATCTACGACTGAGAAGAACCGGCAAGGAACTTGGTCTAGGAACATTCAGGTCGTAGATTTGCTAACCGATGGCATAACATTCCACATTCGCTTGTAACAACCTAAACTGCTTAAATTATATTTGATATGAATTTAATATAACAAACAATAATGCACTGCTCAGGCCGCATAAATTGTGGAACACTGCAGTACAGCACCTCTCGGAAGTTGATATGGATATATACAGTATAGCGAAAGCGTTGATTGTGTGTACCATAATAATTTAAAAATTGCCATCCTATATGAAATTTTAGAAACAACATAAAGACCAAGGGGTCACATTTCATTCGTAAATATATATTTTAGTTGATTTGCATTTTAATCAGAAAAAATAAATACTTAATGTGTCATAAAAAGAAAGAGTAAATACTCCGGTTACAAATTGTCAATCTTATGAGTAAGATATGTCTAAGATTAATTATGTAACACAACGGACAATACGCTTTTAGTACCTACGCTCTACCTTACATTTATTTAAAAATCTATATGAGACTGAAACTCCGAAACTCTGGTATTTGAACTCGAGGCATCGAAACCTAACTCTGGAGATAAAAAATACTCCGAATCAGATTTAACATTAAAGATGCATTAAATCATTACACATCTGGTCTGTGAGATGTTCAATTATAGACTATGAATAATTGGAGAGTATCGTGGCATGTGCGTGTATATATGCCGAGGACTTCTTCTTCTTCTTTTTTAATTAATGGCTTATCTGGCATCTGCGCATTTCGTACAATTCTGGCAAAGTAAAGTAAATAAATTAATTTTTACATGTAAAATGAAAATGAAATGAATAAAAGATGGCGATGATCACAATGATAATGCCGAGGACAATTTTTGACATCGTATTAGTACTGACATGACCTATCTTCTCTTTTTATTGTAATATCATTGACTAAAACATTGTTTATGTATGGACACGGTTATACTAATTGCTGCACTAGTAGTATGGACATCTTTCAAATCCACATAATGACATCAAAATTATGGCATAGCCTGCAACTACAAATGAATGTACCTACAGCGCAATATCACAATGATACCACCTAATTACGAATGAAAATTCTCGACATGAGATATTATTCTGTTTGGAGATTCAAAGTGAATCTTACTTATTATGAGTATTGGCTAGCATAGTCTTGTGATCTCATTTCACACGGCGAGCACAGTATCACCACATTGTGCCTAACCCTTAAGCATTTCGATATATTTACTGTACTTTAGTATAACGAAGAATAATCGCATGTGAAATTGAAAATTCGATAAAATTCTTCTTCTTTTTTAATTAATGGCTTATCTGCGCATTTCTCACAATTCTGCTAATGTCAAGTAAATAAATTAATTTTTACATGTAAGATGAAAATGAAATGAAATAAACCCTAAATTGCGATATAATAATCACCCACTGCCACTGTCGCATTTGTCACAATTGTCATGTTTATTTTTGGTATAATATTTTTTCTCTATTTGTTTATTAAATATTTTACTCTTTAGTTTATGAAACTGTGTATCAACTCAACTTGCGTTTTAGACTCAAGGATTATAAGGAATGCTCATTGTTCTTTGTTTAAAGTGTACTTTAAAAAGCCTAATTACATTCACTTAAGTTTATTGTTTATTTGTGACGGATGTACTGGTTACAGGTGACCATAATTAGTATCTGATTTTAAACAAACTTCTTTCAGGATGTGCGCTAATTCTGTTATACGTTGTATAACACTAGTTGCTTTTCAGCGACTTCAGCCACGTAAATTATAACCTATCTCACCTGCGTATGATCTAGCTTTGCATGGGTGAAAGAATTTTCAGGATCAGATCAATATTTCCTAAGAGTATCTCGTACAAATAATCTAAAAAATATATAAAACGTCTTTAAAACAGTATAGATTAGGCAACGTTAAATTATTAAAACTTACTTTTACTATAAAATAATATAACAATGGACAAATGAAAAACATTTTAAAATTTCTAACAAACCCACGTCTCTCTTAAGACCGGTTCTTCCTTTTTTCATTTTTCTTAAATATAATTTTTTCGCGTGGCATATATATTTACTACTACTTAGTATCAATGATCCATTTTATTTCTTAAAAGGGCAAACGGCATTCTTGTATCATAACACACACACACGTCACAAACCATGTGACCGTGTTACGTTCAAAATTCAAATTCTAGGAAATACATTGTTCTCTTCCTGATAATATCACGGACTTCGCTTTTCTCACTAGGAAATCATTCAGAACAAAAGTCAGTATATTTCGGTTTGGCTCACAGTTAAACATAGGCTCGCCCACACGCCGCTCATACGCCGATCCATCGCCGTCCGATTGCCCAGTTCCATCTTCTTACTCGTCGCCAATACACGTTTCAGGTTAGTCACTTATAATATTATTTTCTTTAATATTTACATTACAAATTACAACAGCGAATTCATTCAGACAACATTAACATGTAAGTCGACTGCTGTGCGATTTTCTTTATATCAAGGATGATGTCCAACAACATCAGCTTCATATTCTGTATCGAGTGCTTTGATATCGTATTGGTGAATTATTTTTAGCTGTGCTGTTTAAGATTCACCAAGTGCATATTACAATACCTACTGACGGACGAACAAAAACCCGGTTTTCGATACTAAAAATAATCCCATATCGAATGTTTGCGAAATCTATTTTGATTTTACTATGTCGGGTATGTGTCGAGTACATACTATTGTGTTCGAATGAGCTCGTATATCAATAGATACCCGATGGATCGCAGGAATTTTGTTTATTACACGTCGAGTTTAATTGACATTTTAATATTACGTTCGACAAGTTAACGGGTATGTTATTTCATTGAGATTATATTTTTTATTGAAAATTCGTTTGACATCAATGAAATGATGCCAAAAATTTTTTTTTATCGCGTGTTAGTTTACAAAGTGAGATTACGTCAATTTTATGGGCCTGACCTGGCAGTTGTTGTGTGGTGATGAAATTAAACTATTTTTGACTTCCTGTTAAAACTAAAAGTAATTCATTACATTGACGTTTCCTGCTTTTTTTTTCAAGTAATGTAATGTATAAAAGTAGATAGTTTTAAGATATAAACAAACTTATTATTTACGATGATTTTATGTTTACAATAAACAAATATTGATTATAACGTAATGAATGTATTTAACGAGTACTATATCGTTGAATACGTGAATGTATCTTCATTTGATTACACACTAAATAAATTCCAGTTTTGATGTAATAAATCGTTTGAATTTCAATTTTCAGTTCGTTCACGTGGAAGTTATCTGATATACAGTACGTGGTTGCACTTTAGAGAACTATTTGAAATATTTTGTATGCTTCTATCGGAACATTTTGTAGTGCACTCCTGTGTGCGCTGGGTTATTCAAATAAGCCATAGTCTATGATCGGTGACCGAACCATGGTAAACAATATTGCAATCTGTACGTTTTAAACGTATTTCGAATTGTATTGTTGTCAATATAAAGGTAGTAAGGTAATAAATCGGAAAACAATAAAACTTTTCATATATCCACGATATGGAGGGGTCGCGAGTAGGAAATAATAAATTGAAATTTGCCTTTATTAAATAAGTAGTAAGAAAAGAAGACTGAATTGAAATATTTCATTAAAATTTTGAACATCTCACAGCTACTGACTCAAGTAGTGTTATTTATAACGGAGTGATTTGAGTCGAAGATCTTTAATTTTAGTAAACTTTATCCATTGTCTTGGTAAATAATTGAAGAAAACCAATGCCAAAAGCAAAGAGAAAGAATATTCCGCGACGTCATACTTTCGCTTTATTTTATATAATTAAACTAGCTGTTTTCCTCGGTCTTAAAATTCGGTTCAGTAGTTTTCAGGGCCTACTCAATGCAAACAAATTGTCAAATCTTTCCTCTGAATAATAGTATAGATTAATAACCGATTAGGTCGTTGTTATTGTTGTCTAAAGGTGACCAATTGATCGCATAACAATATTTATTAGTTTCAGGTTCATGAATTTAAAAAGCTGTAACAATGTCATTGATTTTTTTTTTATTGTGAGCAATAATCCTTTGAAGCTTTCTGATTAAGACATTGTTCTACGCTAAAATAATGATAGGTTCTTTAGTATTTTACTTCTAATAAGACTTTTTCATGAAGAAATTGTTTTTCTAATAAGATGAACGCCAGAAATATTTATACACAACAGACGTCATCCAGAGCTGTAGCGTCACTAACGCGTATTGAGTTGAATCAAAACTATTAACGTAATACTATCTATAACCAGAATCACTTTAATAAACACACTACTATATTGCAAAACTGCTTCAAATACCAAGCTAAAATCAATGGCAGAGTCTTGTATAGGTAATATTTTTATGGTAATAAATCCATAAAGATAGGATTAAGCGCACTTTTGCTGTTTATAAACTACTGACATAAATACCAATCAATATAATCTTAATATAAAATAAAACTTTTTCAAAAGAGGCCAGTAAAATTTTATTAATAATGAGCCTTTTTCTATAATTTTAAAATAGAATACATTTTATTTTAAAACAAACTGCCAATGTATTACTATTATTGGTGTTGAATTGCACATTTTTTTTCAGAGCAGTTAAACATAATATATAAACGAATTATAAAACAGTGAAAAATAAAAGGATTATTCGGATTATAAATTATTGTTTTAAGTTATTGTAATTTATAATTTATAATAGTAGGCCTTTGAACTCGACATCGAGCACAGCAATGTCACAGCATAGGTGCAATGATATTAAACCGTTATAACTTATTGAAATCCATTTTTTATTGAACCTCTTCCGCCTCTCCGCTGTGACTTGCTGAAATTTTACAGAACAGCAATGCAAATTAGAAGAAATGTAAAATAATGTAAACATCGCGATAGATAATCACAAACTTCACAACACAATTTATAAATACCATTCAATGTTAACAGCTGAATTAAATTTTACAGAACCAAAAATGAGTCGCGTCGGAAGGACTAGACGTACTCGCGTTTATGATTGCAACTATAACAAAGGGGAGAGCTACTACCGTCCAGTGCTTGATCGCCTCGATGGTAAAGTACCAGTAGCCAGGGAACCTGACCGTGAACGTATCAGGGGTGAAGTGGAGAGTCGCATCAAGAGCGCCCTGGATGACATCGAGGCACCACACGATGATTTCTTTGACTCCAGAGGAGCACGCGCTCAACGTGGCAGACCGCTATCATCGGCTTTTGAAGAAGACGAGTTGTCAGAAGATGTAAGTTCAAATGTTGAAGTTAGCCACTTATTAATGGTATAGATTTATAACACGAGTGACCAAATTAACGTTCATCACACAACGAATCACATTAAAAATTACTGGAGCTTATTTTTTAAAGAATTATTGTAAGTTAAAAATCCATAATTTTCTCATTGAACGACTCATGGAACATCAAAATTCTAAGATACTTTTAGCGAACCCACAGACTTCAAATTTTGAATACTAAAAAGTAAGAAAAAAATCTAAAATTTTGAAATAGTTAATAGTGAAGTGGATAAATTAATTATTAAATGTAAAGTGAAAATTAAATTAATGAAAGATGGCGATGATCATTTTGTCTGGTTGCTTAGCAAGGTTTGGCATTAATAAATCTATGATTTAGACAACGATTTAGCAATACAACAAAGAGTAAAGCATATGCAATATAAACTTGGATCATAGACACTAATACAAAAACGACTGGCCAACAAATGCAATCAAATAGGCTTCGTTAGACCTTCGTTATTTATAATCGATATAATCATAAAAGTCAAGGTCTAAATCTTAATAGTACATTGATGGATGTTGGTTCTTCAGACGACATGTGGTCAAACTGATTATCTATTAGTCAAGCGTATGTGGCACTATTGAGAGCGACATATTCAAACTTATAGCTATTTAATCAACTACAATTTTGGTTGTATTCTGAATATAATCAACATATTGTAAATTCATCGACGTCTTGTAATAAGTCAACAGAGACAGAGCGTGAAGAGAGGGACTTTTGAGAATGCCCATAATTGATGCTATAATACCTGAAAAGTAAAATAGGAGAACTATGTACCTACAAAAGGAAGTAAGATCATCCATCAAAAATATATCATGTACGAAAATGCACAAGTCTCACAATGCAATTCTTCTGTCGTAAAAGTTATGTAATCAACGTAAAACAAGTCTATTAAATCGGAACCTGTCTTTCTGTGCCAGCAGCTATCCATCTTTTTATATTCCACATAAAAATTTACCATAACTCTAGAAATGTTAAAAAATATATAACCACGTAATACTTTTGATAAACCATATTAATTACCCATCATATTTGCAGAAGCCAACACTGTAATACTGTACCCACTCAAATTCTAATTTGAGATATCTGAATAAGGTATTATATAACATGATTAGATTTCTGATTAATAATGCCTTATGGTAACAAATATTCCTCATATTTTATTTTTGGTAACAAATTTAAACAGCAACAGAAATTTTCCGAAAATTATTTCAATACAATAAACGCCTTTATTTATTTTTAAAAGAGCTCATTGCCAAATACATATCATCACCAACCTTTTAGTTGATGGGGCTCAGGGCTTGTCTGTGGATTGAATCGAATCAATTCGAGTAGGGAGAATGGGCCATAACCCACCACGAGGTCCCAGTGCTGATTGGTGGGTTTTAACGACTGCAGATACTATCGCGACAAACGGCTTAAGATAACTTCCGAAGCACGGAGAAGAACGAGTTAATAAATTTTGGTTACCCATCCTATAACCGGCCATTGCAAAAATTGCTTAATAACCTAATAGCATACTAAGCGTGCACTGTGCCATCGAACTTCTCAAATACGTCATACGTAGATATTATTTCGCTCTTAAATTGAATAATGAATAACACTATTAAAAAGGAACTGGTCTTGTATATATTCACGCTAAATACCTTGCAAGGTAGGCAAAAAGAACCGAGCGCTGCAAGGTACGGTCATCCAGCTCTAGCCTCCTAAACGTTAATCACTCTTTATAAACATGATCTTAAATTTTATGACTTCCTATATCACCTTCGGATAACAATCCGTTAATTGGATCATTAATGGTGTCTTCCCGTCGCCTTCAATCAGCTTTAAAAACCTTTGCATAATTTAAAAGATATTTATTTCAATTTGTAATACTGGAGTATTAATGGTTCAAATACGGGTAAAAAAGGGTGGCGTTTTACGAAGCTTTTTCACCTTTTGATTCATGTTTTTGCTCGCCAAAGTATTTCTTTCAGTTGCTTCATTATTAGTTTTAACAAGTTCAAAGCCATATTGAGAACTAAATGCCAAAGACAGACTGCATTCAGGTAGTCTTTTGTATTTAGGTATCGTATTTTATCAGAAGTATCAATTCGTTTCAGGCAATTTACTTATTATAAAAGTGCACTAATTGCCAATTTGATTTGTTTCGACGTCATTTAAGCTTCTTGTTCTTGAATTATTTTATTTTGTTTAAGTACATAGTCTATCATAACTTGTTAATATATATATTTTGACATGCATCTTAATTAAAAAAATAATCGGAATTAGCGATTGAGAGACTACTCTACATTTCGCTCCCATAACAACCATAAAATTAGAATAGAATTATGGTTTTCTACAGGATTGTACACCACCTTGTACGTGCACCCAGCTGCACAGGTTACCAAAATATGTCAAATTTCTGTAATTGATTTTGACATCTACACTACACTTATTGTTTTAAATGTTAAAATCGAGTAGGAAAATTTTGCCAGTTTTGTATAGTGTAACGGGCTGTTGAATGTATCTCGAATTTATCGAGTCCATGATATGTATTAAACTATCCTTCTAATGTAAATTACTACGAAACTTTAAAACAATGTTCACTATAAAATTGAAATTAAAAGAGCCTATAGATTACTATAAAGTCATCAATTTAATTATAAAATACCTAGTTACATAGTAGATATCGAATAAGATACTGAAGTGTCATTTGCACAGAAATAACCACATATGATGCCAAATTCAGTTACACATAATATTAAAATAGATGTATTCATCGTTCGTCTAATAATAACACATTTTATATATTTGTAAACAACGCAAAATAAATGTCATCATCCACTTATTAACGTACGAAGACAATAATAACATATAAGGCGACATAACGCGGTCTCAGTGCTAATTAAAAACGTTTTCAAAAGCAACATAAGGCTCAGATATACTAAAATGCAAAATATAAGGGTAATTTAGAAAAAGTTAGAACATTACTGAAATAATTAAGGTATTATTTTAATTTTGAAAATAGTAAAGAAAAGTGAAAACAAAAGAAATGAAATTTACTGCATTGTCTGAGGGGATATGCTCTATATTTTGAAAAGTTAAAATCTTTTTTTACAGCTCTTTAAATCTGTAGTATTTCGACCTTATTTGTTATGATATGGTTATTTTTTGATGACACAGTTGTCAAAAAAAAATAACTGTCCCAAAGAGCCTCATATTGAAAATCAGTTTCCATTAGAAAAAAATGTTTATTAATTGCGTTTTAATATATCACATTATTGTGTCACCTTTTCAACTTCAACACTTCAAATAATACTTATTCAAAATCACATTATCCAACTGAAGCAAAACATATATTTCTGAATGGAATAAAAGGTGTAAAATTAATTGAACCCCTTTTTGTTGCTCGAATCGCTAGATTATATTATCGAGGTGTGTTGTTGAGAAATTTATTCCTTAGTTAATCTAATAGGTATACTTTTGACGATCTACTTCAAGTCACAAATCATTTTTAGATCAGAGTAATTCAGAGAATCAGAGAGGTATAATCAAATAAAATTCCTTCAAAAGTTAATAAAGGTTTTATTTAATTGAAACTATGATGTGAGAGCGCTGCGTACGTCGAGGAGTTCGAGTTTGTTTTTATAGCATAATAGGACCTACCTTGTGAAAGACTTGAATATTTCTGCAAGATTTTCGTGTGGGTAGTAACTACATAAATATGCATACAAAAATACACAATGATGAAACTCCAAAATTAACATAAGAAAGTTTACACTAGAGTAGGTATTACGTCAACAGAAGCTAACATATAAACAAAATTCAGTATTGAAGTTTTCATTGAGTTAATTTTTTATTTACTACAACATAAAAATAAAACTTACCGTCATAACAACAGTTATTTCGATCCAAAATATGTATGTTGATGTTACGCAGCTAATTTTGTGTTGTTGTAATCCATATTTAATCTTTAGTTTAAATCTCTATCATCATATTGTCAGCATTGCTATTCTGTTATTTAAACAGGTTCAACTCGTCATCGAACGCAGCGCTGTCAAGTCATATTCAATCAAATTAAACTTACTTGAAAACTCGTCGGCTGTTTTTTAACAGAATAGCATAGATGATTTATATCTCTATTAATTGCACGTTTTCTGACAAATTATGACGACTATTAACACATATAATTGACATATAATTTATTTTCATTTCGGCTTCTCGTTCTGGTTATTTTACACGTAAAGACAACGAAAAAACTAAATTGTCAAAAGGAAGCAATAGTCAATTTTTTACCCGACTGCGCAACGCAAAAGAGGGTAATGTGTTTATGAATCTATGCCAATTTTGATGAAGATTGGCCAATTTTGATGATTTATACGTCAATCGATTTGTCTTAAATATATTGATTATAAAATATATTGATTAATATTGTTAGTGTCACTAAAAACATTACAGTAATCAAAATTCTTTTCTAGGGTACCTCGTGTGGGATATTGTTAGGTAGGTCTTTCAAAAATATTAAAAGTATGCGAGGACCGTGTTTAGATATAATGAGCAGTTCGCAAATGATTTAGCTTTTAAGTACCAAGAACTACTTTGGACTGAGCTGAAGTTGACTTAAGATCGCAAATTTTTACTAAAGGTCAAGCATATGTTGGCTTTGAGCAGAGTGAGATCTTTAGAGGGACTAATAATCAGTAGTTTAGAGCACCGTAAGTCGCTAAATAATCCTCACGATATAAACTCCCTCATGAAAGGACAAGGTTGCGAAATTTACCGTCTTATAGTTCTAATAACGATCTTAATGAGAACAAACTAAAAAGTGTAAAATAAAAATTTAACTAAAATAAAATTTATTGAATAATTTGATTATAAATATATTTTCAACATTAAAAAATCAACTTAAGTCACACCTCTACCCCGTACCAAAACACAATTGAATAATATAAAGCAAGAATGCAAATAACATAAACCATTCAATTAAACTCAAAGTATATCATAACTTACCTTACATTAATAACAGCGTTTACCGGAGGCTTGGAAAAACAAAGAAAAGATCCCGAACAATGGACGTCACCCCTTTTATTAATTAGGAATATTAAAAAAAACGGATTCCCGTCACAGTCTGATCTCAGAATGCAAATAAAAGCTGTTTTAATTAAACATTCCCTCTGTTGTTTTCTTATTTTTACACTGCCCAACCCTTTGTGTATTAACAAAGCTGTATGATGTTAAAATATTTTGTTCTCGAAGACTAACTTTGAATTCGCCTTATTTAATCAGACCTTATTTCTATGTATAGTGAGAAATCGATATATTTTTTTTAACATTACCAGCCTATTAAGGTACTAGATTCTACGCCTTCCATAAGAATGTAATCAAATAAGCGGGCGCAGCATGAATTTGTGGGACTGCAGTTGCAGCTTAACTTGCATTGCAAAGTACGGAGGAGATCGAGAAAATAAAATTTTTGCTGACCCATCCTATGACTGACCTTTAATAAATTTACTTAACCGTCGCATCGCAGACCGAATGCACTAAAAACTGCACTGTCGAGATCTAGTTAGTTAGCCAGTGTATAGTCGAGGAATTAATAAATTTACGATAACGATAATTATTATATATGTATACATTACAATTATACTTAGATGTTCTATTTTGTATTATATGCCATCCTCTGTTCCTATCTAATTCATAGATTAGCCTAGTCTCATTTTCTCTTTTATTCGTCTTTTACATCGAGAATAGAGTTTGCATAAAAAATAGACGTTTAATTTCCTACACCAGACAACGATTTATCGGTCTGTTCACCACAAAACAGCGATCAACCCCCACTACTCTTCCATTATTAAATTTTCCGGAAGGTAAATTAAAAATAAAGGATAGACTACAAATAGGTGCCGTTTTATCATTCGCATTTCCCGTACGAGAGCAATTGGAACGAGTTCTGAAAACTCTGCTTTATAAAGGGATGAAACACAAAAAGAAAAACAGACCACTGCGAGTCAGATTAAAACACGACGGGTTCTATATACCCCACAGAAATAATATTAAGATTATTTTTGTGTATAAATATACATCGTCATCACGAGTCTATTAATGTCCCCATTGCTGGGGCATAAGCTTTATCTATTAATAAAAACTAATCGAAAAGTAAGAAATTCCAACAACTAATCACGCGAGCCACAGATGTTGTCGAGATAGCAAATTTTTGGTTACCCATCCTATGATTGACCTTTGCTTAACGTTTACAACTAAGGCCATACGTGCTATCCACTGCGACATGGAATAACTCAAAATGCTCCTACATATACGTCAATGTTAGATTATAAATTAACGGAGATTTGGGTTAGTTTTTTACAACCATTTTGATACCTATCGAAATTCTCGAGAATGTAGGAACTTTGCTTTTTTAATAAACAATAAAAATAAACAATATGGACTTTAAAAATATAGATTTCAATAGGAAGCATTTACATAAAATGTTAAATTCATAAAATCCATAAATATGTATTCTTGTTTGCAGATAACTGAGTCTTTGAAGCGTCTTCGAGCTGGTAAGAAGTCATCACGCTTCGCAGAAGACATCGACTTCGAGAACACCGTTTCTAACATCGAAAACCGCATGAGGATCTCAGACAAGATCCTTGAAAGCGTCGGAGTCGGTCAGTCTGAAATGAGTGGAGCGAGAAGAGCGCTGCAGGACAACGAAGAAAGAACAGAAAAACGTATAGCTAGAAGGCTCAATGAGGAAAACTCACTCACAAAATGGACTGCTTTGAATCGCGACGACGAAAGTGCTGCAGCGCAACGTGCAAGGGCAACAAGAGCACGTTTGACTGATTTAGAAGACGAAATGACAGAGCTCAGCGAAAAAAGCGCTGCACGAGAAAAACGCGCAGCGCGTCTCAGGGCTCTAGTGGCTGACAGTGATGCGTCCGAATCCACTTTAGCCGCATCCAAAATAACTGTCAGAGCGGAAAGGGAAAAGAAACAAGTCACTTTTTAAATAACTATTTTGTATATTACAAACTCATCCAACTCTTCATTCTAAAATCTTTATTTATAGAATTATTGAGATAGTTGATGAATACTGGATTAGTCGTTCTGTGAGCTCCACTGTTATTATTTTTTACAATTTTATTTATTAATTCACTCTGGAAGTGGTGTTTCGATGTATAAAGAGTGTTGCTATGTATGATCGCCGATTTGATGTCTATTTTATACTTATTGTGTAGAGTAAAACACAGCGTATTACCCTGTTTTTATTTATTTGTTGAATAAAGTACAAAACACACAGCTTTTGATTATTTCGCTCGAAAAACACTTGACGAGGGATCGACAAGTTGACAGATTCGTGTTACATTATAACAAAATGCTAAGTCAATTTCAATACAATCATGGGCGGTCTGTTCGTTAAAATCACATTATGTATAACATGTGGAAAATTGAGAATTTATTTGTTATATATATTTATTTATAAAAAACATCTAAATTAACTAGTACATATTGAATCAACTTTGTTTTGTGATTTATTGAAATTTCAATAATCGTGTAAATAAATCTAGCTTCAAAATTATGGAATACTTATGACTTTATATAAATACTGGCTATTTTTCCGCAAATTCACTCGTAAATTATAATCTATGTCACCCACGTATGATATACCGATCCATAGATGAAAGAATTCTCATAATCGGATTATTATTTCCAAATATTACCTCCTACAACCAAACACAATTAGGAAGTTTACCTCATTATAATATTATTTAGTGTAGATGTTGTTTATGTGTCGTTACGTTGAATGTAATAGAATTATATAACAACAATAAAATCAAGCATTACGTAAAATTTGAAAAGATAGATTTTCATGATGAAGGTCCCAGTTAAACTGTATGTCAGATGCTTCTTACTTATAATATGTGGTTTTTTTTAAGTTGAGGTGTGTATATGACGCACCCAAGAAAAATTCTATGGCCTTGTGTCATTAATAGAACCATACACGTATCGGTATCATTTATCGGTTTCGGTATCATTAAAATTTCTAATTTCAAAGAAGATAACTTCAAATTCAAATTAAGAAAATGTGTTAATTGTTTTTCTTACTGTCAAAATGAGTGAATCTAATGAAGAGATTTGATACATATAAAAATTTTATTGTAAAAAAGGTAAAAATGCACCGCAAACCACAAAAAAAAATGTAACGTTTATGGACCTAGTGCAGTTTTTTCGAGAGTATCACAAAATTGATTTAAGCGTTTTCAGTCCGGACATTTTGATGCCAATAATGTACGACGCTCCAGTCGCCCTGTTACGGATAAAACGGATGCCATTTTTGATAAAGTGGAGCAAAAACGGCATGTCTGTAGTTACGCCATAGCTAAAGAACTGGGGATTGACCACAAAACAGTTTCGGCACATTTGAAAAAAGCTGGGTATACAAAAAAAAATGGATATTTGGGTACCTCACGAGCTCACTGAAAGAAATGTAAAAAAGCGTGTACTCATTTGTAATTTTTTATTACGACGTAATGAAACTCAAACATTTTGAAGACGAACTGGTGACGAAAAGTGGACCCCGTACGACAAAAACGTGCAGAAATATCGATTAGGCTTCCAAGATTATGGCAAAACCCAGGAAGTTATCCTGGGTACAAGGTAATACTGTGTGTATGGTGAGTTTAGAAGGGCATTGTTCATTATGAGCTGTCATCGCCGGACAGGACCATCGATTCCATCGACTCTACTGCTAACAACTGATGATATTAAAGCAAGACGTTAGTAAAAGCGGCCAGAATTAATCAATAGAAGGGATGTGGTTTTTTATCATGATATCGCTAGACCTCACACATCGTTAGATTCTTAGCAAAAATTAAGAGAGATTGGCTTGGAAGTGTTAACGCATCCGCCATAAAGTCCTATCGATTTCCCCCTGTTTCAGTCTCTTTAGAATTCTTTAGGCTGTGTCAGGTTAACATCACACGAGAACTGTCAAAACCACTTGTCGCGGTCTTATGATCAGAAGCCCCAACATGTCTATAGCAGTGGAATCAAGATGTTAGAAAGTAGTATACAATAGAAACAAAAGAGAACCTACATACTTTAGGTAAATGTAAATAGATTTGTTTAAAAAATGTTATTAATTTTCAAAATAAATGCGAATAAACTTTTTCCCAACCAATTATGTCATTTATCATACAGAATATAAAATTATATGTAAAGATATTAATTTGCTCTAGTTACCGTACATGCTTAAGTTTCTGAGGATGTATTCATGTACATATGATTGTTACTCTATCACACATGAACGACTGAAAGGATTTTGATGAAATTTAGTATACGGATTCTAAGCCTGAATTAATATATAGGGACTAGGCGAACGAAGCCGCAAGCGGAAAGCTAGTCCTATATAAATAAACCTGTAGAGCGTGATAGAATAAAATAGACTAAAAGCAAGTCGTACTAAGCACCGATGTTTAGAATAATACATTTTAGAAATTATAGTATTAATGGGATTTATATAATGTAATCTACATATAATACTTCCTTTTATAGTTATTTAAAACTTCGTTTTCGTTATAAATACAATACAAATCATTTATTGACAATTTATGAGATTACATTGAAAATATGGTACAAGTATAATCTGTAGTACAAGAAATGAGGAATAATAGGCAAATATCGAACTACGAAAAATGGGTTTGGTTAATTCAAAGACCACAAAATCTCAAGGATGGTGATTTCATGTTTAGTATTTGTATTTGTACCCAAATGGTAAAACGGGATCCTATAACTTAGGCTTTGCTGGACACCAATTGGGCGGACGCCCATCCGTCTGTCCATTCGTCCATACCTTTGTCACCAGAGTGTATCTCATACCGTTAGACAGTTAAAAATATCACAGTTATTGTATGTATTTCTATTGCCGCTATAACAACAAATACAAAAAAAAATCGAATAAAATAAATATTTAAAGGGATTCCCAAATAACAAACGTGACTTTTAGGCTCATTTCTAGTATGGAAACCTCCGTGCACAAATCCGACTTGGACTTGGCCGGTTTTAAAATATATCCACTTTGATGTAATAGCATCATAGTACCTAAATCCTTGCATATCGTAGATTAATACTAAATACTTACTACAGATAGAGCTTTCTAAAGAAAAATTTAGATGTCGCTAGTTTGTGTTAATATAAATTGTAAAGTTATGTCTAGAGATGGCACTCCTACACATTATTAACTCCAGTAAAGTGGTTCAATGAAGCCGCAATTAATGCATCGTTTCTGAAATTTTGACACATTTTAATATAAAGACACTAGCTGTTTTCCCGCGACTTAACCTCGTAAACAACCCACGTATGAAATAGCTTTCCGTATGTGAAATAATATTCCTGTTCAAACCAGTATTTTTAAAGATTACCGCCTTTACATAAACAAAAATAAATTAGAAACTCTTATTATTTTATAATGATAAATTTATGCTATACACTTAGACTGAAATATCGGCAACTTTCCATTTGTCCATTCAGTTGGACTCGGTTCCGTTCCGTTATGATTCCAGCATCTTCTTTCCATCATCTTTAATGAACACCGCAATACTTCAGTCAAACAAACTAAAACCTTCCTGGAATTGTACTTCCATTAAAGATCCTATGAAAAGAAATTTATTCAATATAATTTAATAAGATGTAATATTAAATACATCACTTTCCACTGGCACATTTCCATCAAAGTGCAAGACAGCTAAAATTGCACTGGTTTCAATCTGCTTTAAATCTGAAAGTACGCTGCATAACTATAGAACCATCTCAATTTTGTCCTGTTTAGCCAAAATAAAAGAATCATTTATTTTCCATATATATTTAGATATAATAAAGAATGTCTCACTGAGTTTCAACACGGATTTGTTCAAAATAGATCCATGACCACAAATTTAGTGGATTTTTCTGAAAATCGATTTTAGAAAGATCTTTTACCGCGTCCCAATTAGTATCCTATTGCAAAAAATATCAAATTACTTTTTCTGTGATTCTTTGTGACAGTGGTTAGAGTCTTATTTGTACAATCGTAATTTTCACATAGTTATGAATAGTTTGCAATCAAATTTAGTTAATATCTATTCAGCCGTACCTCAGGGATCTCGTTTGGGTCCTATTCTATTTAATATATATGTAAATGACATTCCTAATGTTTGAGATATTCAAAAGCTTATTTGTATGCACATGATTTGAAGTTTCTCGGGGTCATTAACAAAGCCAATGATTCCTTCATAGTTATATAAACAATATAGTTGATTGAAGTGATATCAATGGCATGACTTTAAATTCGAATAAATGTTTACTGTAATATTTTGTAATTCCAAATTTAGATAAAATAATTATAAAAGATCTGGGTATACTATTCGCTAGAAAAAAAATGGCATCCATTACACTACTCTGGTATATCTAAAAACAAACTCCCCTCATATCAGAGCTGTCTATCACATTCCAATGTATTTTAATCTAAATAGATCTCATGAAATACTCGTAGATGGCCCTTAAATGCTTGAGAAAGTTAACCTGCCAGTACCCTCCAGATATCTGCGTGAGACTGTGCTTGCTTCTAATTCACCAGTATGTAATGTTGAATAAGTCGGAGACTTAGATTGTAACATAATAATAAAAATAAAATTATTTATTTATTTGTGAATAAGTCCTCTTTTCAGGAGTATCTAAATGAGAAAATAAAATAAATTATTTAAAATACACTCAAGAGGTTGGTAGTGAAAAGAATACTATTTTAATGATATAATTAATAGATCTGTCGCAGGAATCGTTCTATTAAATTAACAAACGACAAGCAAAAATATATCCGATGACTGATTTATATGTAATTAAATATATAAATTGTAAATACATTTCTAACTTAATTTTTAAGTGATTAACTACGTGTAAACACGCATTTGTGTCTAATAATTATTTAAGTAGCAAGTAAAAATATAGTTAATTACATAAGAGCTTAATTGAACATAAAATTGAAATTTACTTACTATCTATCTACTTAATTATGTGTAAACTAGCCATAATACACCAATGCAAACTACAGGTATACAGTAGTGCGTCGATGCTTCCGGATGCACAGTGCAGCTGAATACGAATTTTCGTTTCATCTTTCATCACTGCTCAGAAGTTTAGTTAAGATTTTTTCCATTTCAATTACATTAATTAAGCCCAGTTATATCAATGCCGATACGAATAGAAGGTGATGTCAAAAGCAATACAACAAAAAATAATTTGGTGGTTTTAATAA